CTGGTGACCTTCGGTACATCTCGGCCATATCCTCAATGCCGCCGTTTGGATTGTTTGTCTTGATGATGAACTTCGTGATGAGATCAAAGTTGGACATTGAGAAGATTCCACCACGGCAGAACTGCTCACGATAGATGTCACCAGATCCTTCCCAGGGCGCAATGGCAGCTAGATGAGGTGGGCGGAGCGAAGCGACGTGCCACTGGATAATTGCCAGTGCGGAGTTTCCTGCCATCCCAACCTTTCCATTGCTCCATGGCATGGCTGCAAGTGCTTCGATAACGTCGTAACAGTCTTCGGCGTCTTGAGATCCCATAAGGGGAATGGATCCATCGGAGTCCCCCGTGCCGCGGGAGTCGACTGAAACGATTGCATAGCCACGGGGACACCACGTTACTGGATCAAGGCCTTCGAATTTTTCCAAACCGCTCAAGGCCTCCTTAGGCACACAGCATTGCCATACAGTCATTGGCAGCATGTGAAGAGCTGAATACTTTTTCCCGTAACAGGACCAACTGACGACTGCGGGCAGCTTCTCGTCATCCTTTGCATCTGCAGGTCGATAGATGTCTGCATACAACCGTACACCGTCGCGAACTTTAATCTCAACATCGTGATCTATCCGAATATCGCTCTCCAAGGCGCGGCCTCCGTATGGTCGCGCACCTTTTTTGACAATCTCGACCTTTCCTGGTGTGAAACCTTGGTAATTGTTGACACCAACTTCAGGTGGAGAAATGCGCTTATACGCAACTTGAGGTAATTGGGTGGGCATGATGCGACGACGTAGACGAGATGACAAGTACTGAAGAGGGTTAGAATGTAAAAACCAGTATCACCTCCAAAGATAAACCAGCGTGTTAAAAGAGGCAGCGTGTAGATGCTTTATGGACTGAAAAATGTTGACAGACATTGTGTAAACGCTGGTACTTCCGACGAATTTCCGAAAACAGTTAATGTGCTTCCCCTCACTAACTCGGCCGTCCTGGGCCGTGCCTTGTCAAGTTAAGCGTGGTATCCCGTGGAGCTGCCCACATTTGCCGACTCGGAATTGTGGGCGCGCCACTAGTAGAGACTTCCGGAACCCCACACAAGTAATGATTCAAGTGATGTCTCTTGTGAGACATTTAAGGCTTACAAGACTGTGTTCTAAAAGTTATTACATCAACCTTCATTGTGTACAGCAACACAAAGAACTACTATCCAACATTTCTGCAAGTCAATAGTTCATCATGGCCCCTCACGCTGAAGAGCCCAAGGCCGACACAGGTGTCGACCTTATCCAGCACGATGGAAAGACATACGGAGATTGGCGCGATGACTTTCACCGTGACGGTTGTGCAGTGGTGAAGGGTGTCATTACACCAGAACGAGCCGAATACTACAAACAAAAGCAAATCGAATGGCTGCAATCGTTTGGTCTTGGCTTTGATCCCAATGACGAATCCACCTGGACTGCCGACCATCTCCCCGTCAGTTTCAAAGGCGGCATGTACTTCGCCTACGCTAGCACCCACGAGAAGTTTGTCTGGGAAGCCCGAACAGAGCCCAAGGTCATGGATGTATTCACGAAGCTATGGGGTACTGACGAACTTCTGTGCTCCTTTGATGGTATGAACATTACCCTACCACGACAAAAGGACTTGACTTGGAGCCCATGGCCGCATTGCGATCAAAACGAGAACCGTAAGGGAATGCAGTGCGTACAGGGTTTGCTGAACTATCAGCCCAATGGACCGAAGGATGGTGGGTTGATATTGATGAAGGGTAGTTCAAAACTATTTGATGAATTCTTTGCCGAAAAGCGAGAGCAGGACGAACACGAAGACAAGCCACCGCCAGAAGAGGAAATGAGAGACCTTTTCATCTTCAAAGAAGAAGATGTGAAGTGGTTCGAGAGCAGGGGCTGCACGTTGCAGAAGATGAATCTGGATCCCGGTGACTTGGTATGTACATGAAGATATTTATCTTGAGCTGTAACTGATTCGAGATTCAGGTTCTTTGGGACAGCCGGACGATGCACTATGCCGCTCATCCTCAAGGTAATCTTATTCGGCACGTGCAATACATCTGCATGACACCACGGAAATTTGCAAAGGAAGAAGACGTGAAGCTGAAGGCTGAACTATTCCGCAATTTTCAAGGTACCACGCACTGGCCTCATTGCAACATCCACAAGTCTGGTCCACCACTACGCAACGGCAAGTTATGTCCGAAGGACCGGAGTGAGCCTTTGGAGAAACCGGTCATAACGGACCAGATCTTGAAATTGGCCGGAGTAAAGGCTTACTAAGGAACAAGTCCAGTTTGCATTTGTACATGACGAGGCTTTGATAAGATAGCCCGATTTATATGCGCTGCTATGGCAATTTGGTATAGCAAGTCAGTGTGCATTATATGCTACAGAATTAAAACTCAACTTGATAAGTCAGACTCGTAGCTATCCTGATGCCTGAAATATGTCCTTCATTAACACGAGATTGTAATTATGTTCTTTGGAGTGATTTCCTTGGTGTAATATTTTTAATAACTAGAGCTGACTGAATCTCATTCTGAGTGTATGGGACCTCATCCATCCGCATGGCTGATGGAAGGCTTTTAGATAGGATACAAAATCTAAACGTAAAAACACCCACACATACATATATATTTGAACACATGTAAATATATGTAAATTTATATAAACATACACACACACTCACACACGCAAGTATGGATATATATATATTGTCCACGTTTGCAGCTTTCCCTATAATTCAAAACAATTATAGAAATGAAGCTCTCTATGTTTTGAGGTGGTGAATGATATGGGATTATGCCGATTAAAACCTTGTTGTTCTGCTCTTCTAGTTTAGGTTTACTTGTCGTACAATAGTTGCGCCAAAGTGTCTAAGCGCGCTGTTTTAGCGCTGTTCAGGTAATATACAGAGTTTAGGTGGTCTAAGCAATATCCAAATACTGTATATAACCCAAGATTCCAAGAAGGAATTCTTCAAAGGTTGTTCAGCCCGTTATTTATTACGCTAGCAAGTAGCTAGTACATCGATAAAACATGAATTAGGAAAGGCACGATAGAAGTCTATCTATTACGGAGGCTACCAAGAACAAAACATATTTATAGAGAACAGGAAAAGTTTGATTACGGTAAAAATAGATTATTAATCTTCATTTAGGGGAGCCGACCTGCTACCCCAAACGCTAAAGCTTAGTAAAATTCCAGCTAGAATTGTCTTAGCTAATCAGGTATGCTTCCAACGCACTCCTAACCGTTACTATCAACTCTTAGGCAAACTATACAGCTTTATTCAGGAGTTATTAGATACCTGTGCAATCATAAAGACTGTTACTTATGAACCAGAGTTAGGAAGTGCACTATAACAATTGACTAAAGGGTTCTTGGCCGTGCACGTCTAGCTAATGGAAGAGCACATCTTTCAACTAAGGTCTAGAGTTTTTACCTGTATGAAAATTATCAATATTTCTTTCTCGATAGACTAAAAATTGAATTGTTGAGTAAGAACATTCGACTAGTGAGTTATTATTACTAGGCTTAACACTGTAGAGGCAATGGTCTGGAAATTCAGCCTTGGAGATGGCATTATATACACCTCTCTAAGTGGTAATAGCCGCCTATGCAAGTTGTTGACGATCTAAGCTTGTGCTATTAGGGCATGTGAAGAGGTCAGGTAGCTGTGTATAGCCTGAGACACAGCCTCCCACATTGTTGCAAACCTTTGCATTCTAGACTGTAAAATCTCCTGAGGTTAGAAGCGAGAGGGTGATAAAGAGCGCATTTTGCAAGATCATAGTCAAGAGCGTAGGTTCTCTATTTTCAAGAGGCTGGTATATTGATTGCACTAAAAATATTACATGTATAATCAAGGCGTTCACGGTCCGACTATGAATCAATTTGCTAACGTACTAGGTGAACGTGTGGATATCTTAATGTTGACCGCTTCTTTAGCACTCGACCCACAAAGTAGTCTATACGTTCTGTTAGCCTTTCTCCACAAACGGATCTGTACCTGCCCTATTACTGTGAATTCGTATATCTATAATTTTCAGAAATTAGATGACTAAGAGAACGCTACATTTGGCAATTACCTACTTATATAACCTCTAGTCAGGCAAGAGCTGACTGTAAGGGGATATGTTTAGTAACATATGCATACATGAGAGTAATACCAAGTGTATAAGGGTTTTCTCTGTTAAAGAATCACGTGTGCATCTACTTCCTGTTCAATTTACTAATCGAATTCAACAACCGATAAAAGTAGTCTGTGCAATTGTTCTTATTATACGTATTCGGTGCAATGGCACGATCAAAATCCAAGCCGTTCTGTTCTTACTACCAGCTCACTAGTCCATACCAGACCTTTGATTAAAAACTTTGGCATAATAGAGCCTCGACTGAACCGTTTTTGTATTTCGAATTTGATAAATTGGATTAACGATTGCGGCCAGCCAAACGGAAATTTCACGACTGCCTCTCGTTGTTACTTGGCATACGATCTGTGCGCTCTAGACTGAACTAAGATGAAGCTGTTGCATTAATTCTTTGCGACCTCAGTAACGTGGTATGGGGCCGTAGAGACATAAGGCCGCACGTGGAAATATTAAGATTATCTCTAATGAACGAAAAGGAGTCGGTACAAGCATAAGTGGGGTATTAAGTTATTAAGTTGGCTCTGGCCTTTCGGCAATATCTTTGTAAAATAAAATTTCGGGATTTATTAGAACTAGTTATATAGATATTCAAATCAGCAACCACACGTAAGCGCCTATTCTCAGCTCCACCTATGGACACAATACTATTAGATAAATAATTTCTAGAAAGCTATTATAAGTTTAATAAACATGAAGAATTTATTTATTACTAAATAGCCTAAAAATAATAAAAGCTATAAGAGGAAGTTAGTAATTCAATTTTTAGTTGTCCATGGGGCAGAATTTCGTCAATTCCTGGCGGGAACTGTTCGCTCAAATATTTTTAGGCTATCCTAAGTGAATATTCGCTTTTGAAGCCTTACTTCGCATTCAGTAGCCTTATTGAAGAATCCCTCGCGTACCACCGTGGGATGAGGATTTGTCCTCTTGACATCAAAAATCTTAAAGACCACCACTACAGCCTTCAGAATCTCCATCCAGGCAAAGCTGTATGCATCCTTCAGTATCGAGATAGAAGGGAAAGAGAGTAGGTCCAAACTTACTTTCTTCCAATGCAGGCCCTGGGACCAGTAGAGAAGGGCAGAAAGTACTCCATGATCTTATCCGACCCTGGCTCCAGCCATCGTTCTGGGCGAAATTCTCTAGGAGACTCAAATACGCGTGAATCCATCATAACACCTAACGTTGGTACGCTAACCAATGTCTATGCTGAGTGTTAGAGACTTTTCAAGACCCACAAGGATGTTTCCTTGTTTGGCTCACCTTCTCCGGAATGTATTGTCCAACTATGGTCCTACCACCCTGCGGAGTTACACGTTCCAGCCCCGTCGCACTCGTTGGGCGAAAACGCATTACCTCTCGTAAAGTGGCAAGAAGCAGGGGCAGGTCTTTTATATCACTTTCAGCTGGAATCCAGTTCCAAGCAGGTTGCCCTGGGAAAACTTTGTCAATCTCCTGTTGGATGCGGCTTTGCAGGTTCGCATTGCGAGCAACCAAATCAATGAAATTTGTCATTGTGCTACTCGTGGTGTCGCTTCCGCCGACAATAAAACTGATCGACTCAGCTATGATCTCATCTTCTGAAATAGGGCGGTTGGTATCTGGATCTTTAGCGCTGAAAAGGAAGCCGAGCAAGTCTTTCCGGCTATCCCCTCCGGATGCTTTACGCCTCTCGTATGCTGCTCGTCCGATGCTTTCAAGACCCGCTCGTGCCTTTGAGCCTTTCGCCCAGAAATTGTCGAAGGGGTTGTATTTCATGATTGATCGAAGGGTAGGCGAGAGAGATCCAATCGCGTTCATGAACTCGCCTCGCGCATCGATGATTTGAATAAGACTGTATTCATCCATACCCTTTTTAACAAAACCGAAGGGCTCACCAAAGGAGAAGCTTGCGACAACATCGAAGGCTAGGTAATTTGCTGTTGGGGGACACGTTTTAGCTATTTTTCCATCTTTCGTAGTGGTGGTACACCTACTCCAAACAGCGAAATCGACGTTGGGAGAGCCTCCTTGACACAATTTCAGCAGCTGAAGCTTCCAATTCAGAAGCTCTTTATCCATATGAGGTTCAAAATCGGACAAAGCTTTAGCAGAGAATGAAGGATTAATGTATTTCCTCTTGCGTGTATGCTCTGCTACACTTCTGGTGTTGAAGACTACTGGTGTTACCTGCAGGAATGCATCGTAAAAAGGGCCCTTAGTAAATCCAGTCTTGTGTCCATAGATTTGCTGGATCGCTTCTGGATTGTTTACAGATATGTGATTTGGTCCTATTCGAACGAAGTCGCCATATTTCTGATGCAATCTCAAGACTGTTTCCGAGCGTCGAACATTTCTGCATTGCAATGCAAGCCATAATGACGATGTTTTCGCCCAGAATGGGCCGGGAAAGTGGCGAATCTTGGACGTGTAGTATAGAGCCACTTGCAGAAAGCACTAAATGAGAAGTTGAGGGGTCATTAAAAAGGTTCTGTCTCGTAGTATAGACACAAATCTTGATTTGAAAAGCCAATACGTGCTGGAATAGATGGGACTCACAGCGGAAAGAATCACAAGAACTATGGCACTGCTAACTGAGGGCCCGTATTTTTTGAGAAGGTGTTCCAGCTCGTGCTGAGTTGGCATTTTGTTTGTCTCGGTTGGGCTACGGTTTATATGCGTGATTGTAAGCTACAGATGAGTGATTAGAATAATTGGACCGCAAAATGATATTTTTTCTCAGAAGTATCCCTTATATCAGTGTGGTGATGGTCTAGGTCGTCCGCATACAGATAAAAGCTCAAGCGATTCGGTATTGATCGGGAGCCTATCCGACTCACCGATGTCCAATCGGAAGTCAGGGAATGAGTTTGCCGAAGATGCCGACCTATAACTTAGCATAATCCTAAGACCCTAGATTTTGGGGATCTGGCTTCTTCGTATAGCATATTGCCCAACTGGTGGGTGTGCCAGATTTTGTTGGAACAAGGACGAGTAAATTCTGGCAGCAGCCAGACACCGACCTTGCCGACCGCTGTGTTCTTGCATTTTGGGGTGCGAGAACCTCATGGTTCTCTCGCTCGCCCATCTAGTTGATTCCGTGTTCTTCCTAGTCTCTAGTTACAATTAAAATATTCTCTCGTTTTCTTGGTCCTGTATGAGCTTGACTACCTTGATTAGTAGTGATACCACTGATTCTGGTTGCGCGGATTGTGCTCTCTAGTGCATGGAGATTCCTTCCTTTTGGCTTGACGGACTTGGTGCGGCGCTTTGCCTGCAACGACTGGTTGGTTCTTAACACGTATGTTGAGGTTCTGTTGCTTCTATGCTATTTTATGGGGAAAATAATAATAGAAATTATTGTAGGTTTTGATCAAAGGAAAGGATCTATTTAGATATTGTTGCTGTTTCAATTCAACTTTGGCGTCGCGATAACTTCCTCACCTGCAATATTCACTCCTTTTCCATGTTGAACCCCTACAACCTTGAGAGTATTTCTATTAAGAGCTAAAGATTGTAGCCTTTGATTTCGATCGTGGTTAGCAGTATGATGTTAAACATGATCTGTTGAGATAATCTATTATATAGGGTTCTTATGGGGTCCTGATAAGAACGGGTTTGACATTCTAAATAGTCTTTTAATTCAAGCGTAAGATCTTGCGACGACCTTATAACTGGATATTTAAAGAAACATGGGAGCTTCAAAGTATGCTCATTCCTGTTAAGCTTCTGCGTCTGTATGGCGATACTAATATTAAAAGCGCTGGCCTACTCGGTGTCAGACTACCCGGGTTTAAATTCTGTGTTACTGTTAGTAAGGCTTTGATTAAAGGCAGCAAAGCATTAGTTGTCTTCGCAAATAAGATGTTAGCAACTGGAATTAGGAGCAATGGTGTACGAAAATCCGGTCTCTGGAGTTCCCTTGCTGGAGACCTATGACTGCAATATGAGAAATTCATTCCTTCACAGTATTGTCTCGATCAATCGCTCAAATATCGGTCTTTCTATCCTATGGGTACCGAGTCATCAATCTCACAATCTAAAATAGCCTACTAGAATTATGAGCATGAATATTATTTAGGAAAGTGGAATTTCCCTAGCTTGCCAATAAGGATGGAGCTGATAAAGAAGAGAATAGTAATGTAGTAGATGAAGAGATTCAGGTGCTAACATATACTAGAAGAGCTAGATGAGTAGAGGGGTTGTGTGTATAGTGTTCAATGCCTCCAAATCCATGCTTAACACAAAACTGGGTGCTGTTTGAAAACAGCTATAGGCAAACATGCTCAATGAAGAGCATAAGTCTAGATCATTATAGGATGCTTTATAAATCGGGAGACATAGTTAAGACTTAAAGTTATGCTAATGATAGCACGCCGGCACCTACTCTATTCACCTCCTAAGACGAGTGGGCGACGTTGCACTCAACGAATTTCTCTACTCCCTGTTAATATGGGACTGGAATATAAAACAACCGCGATAGTTAAACTGGCAGCGGGAACGGAGTTAGGAAGAGCTATTTCCGGACAAATTAGGAATAGCGCTAACACACTAGGGCGCCACTTGATAGTGAGAAAATCTCTTGATATAAATTACGAATTGAAAAGCTAAGGAGCTGAACTATCCTAAATGCTAAATGCACTTTTACACTAAGATTTGGGTACCGAACTACTATCCACGTTAAACCTCCTCTTTTTGTTGATACTACTACTTACTGAAGCTTGTTGCTTTACTAAAGCAAGTTATGCTAAGGAAAAAACTCTATAAGTGGATCGACTATGAGATCAGTAAGTTAGATCTAGCCTTTGACTATAGTAGAATATGGAAACTTAGGCATAGCTATCGCACGAACGAATTTCTTATGAGTTTTATATATACCAACTCTCTGCCTGTCTTATTCTCTACCTTTAAAAGTAGTTGAGTAGTGTTGCGCGATGGTAAAGGCAAGGTTTATACCAAACTAATTTAGCGTATGGATGATAGCTTACGATACCTCCTTATATGGTGGGATCACGGCCTGAATTTAGAGGTTTCTAGACAGGCTGTGGATAGAATTAATAAATTGCATGCTTACTGGGAGAAGAGATATCCTGGTGACTTTAGGTTGAACGAGGACTTTATATATGTTTTGTGCTACTTTGCGGCTGGTCTGCACCTTGTACGACAACGTGTTGGGCTGATAGGCTATGATGAGAAGATGCAACGTGCATCTTGGAAGTTCTGGAGCGAAATGTCGAAACTATTCCTCCTTGGGGGGATGGCGAAAATCTGGTTGATTTCCCCTTAGACTTTAATGGTATTCTGAACTTTATAACGAAGATTGAAAGCTGTGGCTGGACTTATAACGAGCATGGTCCTGATCTGATCGACTGTGCAATAGTGCCTTTTACTGAGCGCTATTTCCTGAGGTTACTGCATGGCCTTGGTTGGGCGTTGATCTTAGGAATGGTTAGCGATGGTAAAATGCGATCACTTGGTATGCCGCCTGCTAGTCGTTTGTAAAAGTGGATCGCTTGGTATTTTGTGAGGATAGGTATATTACTGAATGAGTATGTGCTTCCTGATCCCGAGCTTACTCTTTTAGAATGAAACTAAGAATCTTGCAGGAAACCTGCTGGATTTTATTACCTTGCTTCTACCGGCCTGGTCTTTGTTATTCTATGTCTTGTGGTCCGCTTTGTTACTACCTAATTAGTAGAGCGCCTCTTGTGGCTTCACAATTGTTCTGAATAACGTGGTTTATAAGCGAGCGAGCGTATCCTCACCAGTGCGTTAATGTTATGATAAAAATGGGAGATGCTTCAAACAAACAACTCCTAAACTACTTATACTTAAGTAGGTCTATAGCTTTCTCTTTTTGATATTAAATATAAAAGTGATTAAAGTAGTTGTTTAGCTGCTAGAATATATAATCTTTCTGAATTAACTCTAAAGCGTAAGAGCTATAAGCAGCAATATATATAAATAAATTAAACTCTTACTATAAGCAAGGTAAAGGAAGTGTTAGCTAAAGAGGTAGGCAGTAGTTATAGCGATAGTAAGAGTATGCTAAAGAGAGTATAGGAGGAGAGGTATTATAGGCGTTATAAGCAGACTAGATACAACACCTATATATATAGTCAAGATAGATAGTGTAAGTAACAATAGCAATTCTAGGAATCAATTTTTATATCGTAATAGTCTATTAATTATAGTAAAAGTGTGTGATAACTTATTAATGTTAACGCGCTGGTGAGAATCGGCTCGATTACTTGTGAACTACGTTGTATATGAAAGCTTGGAAGAATATACTCGTAGAGGTTATTGGGGTTTCCTAAGGGAAGAAACTTGAAAGAAAAGAGAACTAATGTAGACGTATTAGAGTCTCGTATTCCCTAGTGATTTAGGAAGAATTACGTTTTTAAAACGCTATATAGATTTGAGTAATAAAGTAGTATATGTGTTGCTATTGGATGTAATCTATTTTATAGGTAAATTGATAAATTGCTGCTATAATGACGAATGTTATAGTAGTAGCTATAAGTAGTGCTTTGTCCTGCGAATCTCGCTGCTTTTGGATCTTCTGGTCCACCTCTCGCAAGTCTTGTTGTATTAACCTCTCCCTTAAGATACTGAGCGGTGGCTTAATAGGATCTGACCTATGGGCATCATTGTAATCTAAGCTAAACTTTATGAATAGTTTTACTATGGCTGCAAATATTAGATTGGCGTTTCCTAGCCCGTGCCTACGACGATATCTAGGTGGTATGAAAATGAGGAGAATCTGACGGCTAATGAAATAAAAATATCTTAAGATTGGGTTTTGTTAGTATAGTTCTCTAAAATGTCTGTAAGTATTCTCTTACTTGGGGTACTATAGGTTATAGAACTGATGGATTATTGCTTGAGAAGTTTCGCGTGCTCTTTTCTTCTGTTTGGGAGTGGACTGCTCCTTATATGCTATATTATCGAACTAGTAGAAGAATCGCTTCAGCTTATTCTAGTTCCGTACAAAGTTAATTCCCATTGATCTGGTTCTATTTGCTGGCTCTGTGATTAAGTGACTCGTGACTCTCTTGCTATATTCTGGAAGAGCTTCTTGAATAGCTGGGTGCGGTAACTGTTTCTTTGTTCTAATGGTCTTCCGAACCTAAGTCTTAAAGTAAAAATTGGCTATGACTGATATCTGGGCCTCCTATGGAGTACTGATAGTACTAGGATATCTCTTCTAAACACTCTTGTGGAGTTGATTGATCTTGTCGGCGTATCTGATTGTTTTAGGAGCACTGCTCCTATAATTTATCTAATGTAGGTTTATGAGAAGAGTATTATAGAAACGCTGGTGAGGACGATTGATGATTTTTCCACCGTGGATTGCCGTGGCTCTAGAAGGAACTTGAGTTAGTATGTAAAAAACTGCTGCATATGCTATTGAGACACTAAATTTGGAGGCGCTGAAAAATACGGTGGTGCGAACGATTTGGTTATAGTCTAGTTTTGGATTAAGCTTTGTATGGTTAGTTGTTGTTTCGCAATCTATTATTTGATATGCGCTGATGTACTCACGTTATCGAAATATTTGTCGAGCTATTTGCCCTTTCGTTGCTCTCTTGGGGGTAGCGGACGAGTTGGACGAGTGAAGTGTGGCGGAGGTTGAGGAAGTTGAGGAGAGTTCTTAAGTTGTTCGGGAAGGTCTACTCTGGGAGGAAGGCTTCTATGAAGTTTAACTCTGTACGGACTGACTGTTCTCAATTGGGCAAATGATATGACTGTTGGGTTAGCAAGTACGACCTATGCAAAATGGTTAGAGGAAATGAGTGTTAGTGGAATAATAGTGCTAGTTAAGTATGAGCTTTAATATTTCTGATAATGAAATTTAATCACCGCTCGTTTCTCTGATGGAAGATTACTCTAGCTTCGCTAGCTGTGGTTTATCCTTTAAGGCCTCCGTCGTCTTATTAATACCCTTTCTGGATTTGCTGAAGCTACTGTGCTCTTGGTATTTTGCTAACCCGCGAAATATGCTAGATTTGGCATCTTATCGTAGAATAGTCGTCTAAAGTTGGTACTAGCTGCTTGAATGAAGGTTAGCTTGAGTACGCCTTAGTGATAGCTCTAAATGTAGGGCTGAAGAGTTGTATTCTCTCCTTGTTCTGAACGTTCTTGCTATAGGCGTTAGAGTCATAGCAAATGCTATTAGAGTTATTATTATTATTGTTATGACTATTATCTTAGCTATGCGCTACGCTTTTTAGTTGTTTTCTTCTCCTACTTGAAGTATTCCAGGCCCTTTTCTTGACCCTTTGGAGACGCCTAGTATTTTTGAAAAATAAACAGCGGGCTTTTACATCAAGATTTACACAATTGTTACTCTACTTTGTCTTATTTAAAGCCTATGGTATAAATAACACTTAATAAGCCTTAGAAGAATGCTTGATATGGTTCTATGCTATATTAGGTAACGTACGCAATGTCGTTGCTAATTTAATATGAGTCTTTGTCGATGAATGCGCCGAGTTGTTTGTTGTTGGTCTCCGTGAACCTTTAAGAATAAAGGCACCTATCGATATAAAATATTGGTTTTAATGCCACGTATTCGATGTAATTGAGATGATGAATTTTTGAAAGGCTTGGTTTTCTAGACTAAGTGGAGGGTATGTTGGAGGTATTTTTACTGCTTTGGAAGATTATTTGGAATATTCTACGCTCACGTGTCTTTCTTTGATTAAATTAATACTTATTCCTTCTCGAGATATACTGCGATGGAGCGAAGAATACTGACAGGGACTATGTTCTTAACTTTATGAAGGATCGATTGCGGGAAATATAAATAGAGCCTGGTTAGGATTATTATATAAGAGAGCGATACATTTGGTTCTCTCGTATTATAGGGTTTCTGAGAGTGCTTGCTGTCAATTCTAGCCGAGGCTACTGTTAATATTAGCCGAGGTGGAATAGGTATTGGCTAGGCTCTTCCGCCCTTTCTGAGATTTTATTACCGCGTCGGCTAGCTTATTGCTGGATCCTGAAAAGACGGAGGCTAGAACCTACGTATTAAGTATTTAATTAGTGCAAAAATGTTGTAGGAAACTAGCTTCTTAGTAGAAGATACCGTTCGTTTGACCGCTTACTTCTAATGTAAAGTTAACTAGACACAAGATGTGTGCTACGGAACCTGCTGTGAAGGGGTTTTTATAATGGAAATATAGTGAGGTCACTCTTCCTGTCTGAGAAGCTTGAATAGCGTTAAGGCGCCCTTATCGACTGCTTTACCTCTTGTACTTGGCAAGAACAAAATGAAGCTATTTGGTTATACCTTATTGTTACTGTTTTATTAGATTACGATCCGCGTAAAGTTTCGATTCTACGTTATAGTCTGAAGCTGTTTTTAGTGAAACGTGCGTGGAGAGAAGGGGATTATGTCGTTGAGGTTTTATATGAAGGCATTAGGATCAACTTTGGTTAAAATTCGCCTTGCGTAGAGTATAGCAGATTTTACGGGGTATAGAAGGCATATTAATTTGATCTCTATGTTGACTATGTGTTGAGTGAAAAAAAACGAATTCCTCCGCGCTTGTTATGGGACTCACAAAGCGCCTACGGATCTTTTTTCTATAAATCCTTCATGTTTGTTTATTCGTTTGTCTGTCACAAGAGGGAGATTAGTTTATATCTCAGTACAGAAAACATTTGCAAGATATAGTACGCTGCATAAGTCAGAAACATCATATACATAGGGTAGTAATAGTGCAAGAATTCGGCTAGTTTTGAAACGATTGGATGTTATGCTTGTCGATCGATACAACTAGTATGCACCAGGCATAACTTAGGGCCTAACTCGATCCAGACGGACGCTTGCTTAGCTTAATATCTTCAAATTACCCCGCACCCAAGATCGTATAATAAAACTCTGACTAACCAAAATCAGCCCTTTCCCTATCTATATCAAATCTACAGCGTACAGCAAGGTCTTCTCATCCTAATATCATCCAATCGTGTTGTTGTGAGCGACTCCCAGCAGTTAGACCATCCGCGAGTGAAACGCCGTCGTATCTCCGTTGCCTACATACAATGTCAGCAGCGCAAGTCTAAGGTGTGCACAAGTCTCCCACCAATTACAAGAGTTCGGGATTTAACTTACTCCAAAGTGTGATAGAGCTCAACCAACGTGCAGTTATTGCTTAGATGTTGGTGCTCACTGTGTCTACTAAAATCGTTAAAAGCTAATACCGCGTATAGGGTAAACGATTATTCTTCTCCTTTAGTCCTATAAGCTTGTCCAATTTATCTTACCCTAACGCACTAGGCTTAGTGAATACGAGAACCGGCTGAAGGCCATTGAAAAAATCCTTTATTAACTGGTTTAAGCCAGGGATGATCATTCTGATGTCTATTCGCAAAGCCTCTTAAGCATAGGCATCCTAAGTCTTGACAGTGACTCGCAGAGGGAGCCTCTAGGCCTTGATAATGGAAATTCGCTGGAGGAGAAAGTTGTAGTATCCGTAGTAGATGGACTAGTAATAATTCACGGCACTGGTACACAGGAACAATATTTTGGTAGGTGACTAACTGGATTTTATACTATGAAGAGAAGAAAGATAAGACTGGCGGACGTCACCTATTTATACCTTGACTAACCTATCTGTAGGGCCCTCTTCTAATATCACCTTCCTAAAAGTAGTTTTATAAACTACGTCCGCTATTATGTAAGGGCTCGTAAGTTAATCCCGTCTGGGATTGGAAACGACCTAAGAAACTCTGACTCGTTTACTATCGCCAACGCCACAAGTTTCGAAGCCCATATGTACTCCTTCTATATCCTTCTAAGGTGATCTTTATGTTCTTTCTTCTGAGGAATAGGCTACTCGTCTGCTTAAGCTCTATTTCTCTAGTATAGGGTCTATGTTTCTATTTATTAGCGAAAAGCAGGTCCTGAACAACTTTTATTTATTGAAGAACAAAGACATCTCTGATGCTAGAAAGAGCTGGCTTTGTCTCTTGAATGCTATTTTTGCTTTTGCGACACTTATGAACGCTGAGGGGGAAATCCAAGATAAATCTTGTGCTGTAGATGCTGATGTATTTTATAATAAGGCCTTGGCGCTTAATAATTTGATTAGTCACGGCTCCGCTGATCTTGAGACTGGTGAAAATAAATCTATAGTTTCTGATTAAGTCACATCTACTAATAGATTTCTTAGTGCAATACCTGATATTATTAAGTTAATACTGCCAGATTACCTAATGACTACACGAAACATGGATTCTCTATGGACTTGCCGTCTAGTGTGCAACCCTTATTGGGCTATGCTCTATCTTGTTGACTGGGAAATATTTAGGTATATATCGTGAAGTGAGGAAAAGATTGTGGTTCGGCCTATTTATTCTGGACTGGTAAATTACATACCTTGCTCGAAGTTTGGTGTTATTATGGCTAACTAAGTTACAGAACACTTAGTATGACCCTTGGAAGACCACCTCTAATTTAGGGGAACTTGGATGGAATGGAAATGCCGCTGGAAAAAATTCTCGATTAAACCGACCTTGGCGTAAGCCCGGCGGGAAGTGACGACTTACAGCCCTATTCGGCTACTTTCTTTATTGTAACTATGTTAGTTGGATACCTTCGTGAATTAACACCCTTTGATGTATCTAAATACTGACCTCTCTACCTAGACAACTTTATAAGATCTTGGGCTCTATTGTTAAAAGCTTATACGGGAATAACGTCGATTTGAGATTGTTGGATGTTAATAGCGAAACCCTAATGTATGTCGTGGCTATTGAGGATGAATTACAAATTTGGAAGCAGAATCTTCTTAAATCAATGCGCTTAAGACTATGGGAAAGGACGTATTAGGAGACGTGGTGCCTCTCAGAGCACGACTTAGTATCCGCGAGATTGAGTGTCGTTATATATTTGAGATATCTTAATGTTAGGATTCTACTATATTGCTGCATCCTTTAATATCTTCTGAAGAAGAGGGAGGCTACTTTCTTAAGTTCAACGAGTTATGGAGAGGATTTTAAGGATCTTGTTTTTAAGTTGAGCGTAGACGTTTGTTACGACTCCGCAACGTGTGTTATTAACATTGTTGGTAGCCTAGGTTTAAATCCGCACCTTCTTGGAGCTCGATGGTTTTCCATCTACTATAGTACGTTGTGCCCCTTTTAAAAAAAATTCCCTTTTTATTGATGGGACCGCTTACACACCACACTTCTTCGTTTTAATTAGCCTTTAATACTGCCCTTGTTATCTTTAGCTGCTTTCTTCTCGATCTAATTCGTTTTCCCTTTGGGAAAAGATTATACTAGGCTTTAGACGCGATGGAAAGACTTAAAAACGATTCCTGTGTATCGCTTCGAGTGATCAAGATCCTTTAGAAGCTTATTAACGTCTTAAATTCTTTTAAGCTTTTAGAAGGCTTAATGGCCTAAGATGAAATCTCTCCCGAAGCAAACCTCGATATCACTAATGACACGTCTTATCTAGCTTCGATCCTTAATGAGTCGCTGCAAAAGCCTATGAATTATAGCGACCTTGACTTGGGCTTAGAGTCTACGAATCTCCATGTGGATAAGACAAACGAAGACTACTCAACCTACAATCTGGGAGATATAGATATTGTAAGTTATAGAATAATTTTT